AGTAAAAGTGAGCAAAGAAAGAAAAGGGCAAAATCCACCCCACATGAGGGGTGCTTGGGCAGCACCAAGCACATCCCCCAGCAGAGCCCAGGACTTCCACCATGATGTTTCCATCATTCTTTGGGGCCCAGGGGCAGCAGTGGGAGTGCAGAGGAGAAGAATGGTAGCCCTGCCCCTCAGCCTGGCTGCCTTTGTCCCATGTCCCCTTAGGCCAAGACCCATGGGGCACCCCCCAGGGATTGTCCCCTCGGCTGGATCCCACAGCTGGTGCCCACAGGGTGTTCCCATGCCTGGCCCCAGTGCTCAGTCCCATGTCCACGAGTCATCCCCAGGCCTGGGCCCATGGGCACTGCCCATGGCTGCTCCCCACACTTGGCCCTCCTGCCTGGTCCCCTGCTCTGGTCCCTGTGAGTGTTCCCTGCCTGGTCTTCATACCAGGTCCCCAAGGCTGTTCAGGGGGGCTGGTCTCTATGGCTGGTCCCTACGCCTGGGCCCACAGCCAGAGCCCAGAGCAGGTCCCCAGGCCGTGTCTGCACCCTGGGGCCTCAAGCTGGACCCCATGCCTGGTCCCCATTCCTGTCCCCACACCTGTCCCCATCTCTGCTCCCCACACGGGCAGGGCTCTGCAGGCAGCATCATGGGAGCCACAGGGCCACCCACACTGTCACGGGGCCACCTCCAGGCTGGCCATCCCTGTCCAGGGGGGACAACACCCATCACTGCAGCATCCCCATCCCACCGAGGCTTGGGGCATCTGCCCCGGACCCCATCCCTGGGGCAGAGGCTCCGCAGTCCAAGGAAATCCTGCCCCCTCCCCCTCCATCCTTTCTTCTCCGCTCCCCCTGTTTCTAATTCTTTCTCCTCGCCCGTAATGAGGGGATTACACGGCAAACTCCAGCAGGACGCCTTTGTGGGGAGACAATCCGAGTGGGGAAGGCAGTTCGGGGCTTTGTCCGCCACTGCCCCCCCGGACCCGTGCTGGGGGGACATTTAGAGCAATTACTTGTCCAGAAAGTAACTGTCAATCATTCTTAAAGGGGAAGGCCTCCAATTAATAACCTCGTCTTAATCCTTTGGACTCATTTCCAATCTGCGGTGCCTTGGTGACATCTGCAACACTAAATAAAGATTCTCCCGAGCCTTAGCACGGCGGTTCTGTGACAAATAAGAAGACTAGAGGCAACTTTGGCTGCCAAAGCTGCGAGATTGGTGAGGTTGAGCCGCTTGTTTGGTTCCCGGGAGGGACCAGCAAAGTTAAATACTCCTGGAAAAGCCGAGTTGGGCCCAGCAGGTAACGCCGTTTTTTTCCAATTCGGGACAAAGCGCCGAGGGAAGATGCTGAGAAAGGGAGTGGGTGTCCCCAGGGTGTGCCTGGGGTTGGTGTTGGGGACGGGGCTGGCACCATTCCCTGGGGACTCAGAGCGGGTGCGGGCGCCCGCCAGTGTCACTCACCCTGAGTCACACAGAGCCAGGGCCAGGAGCCACCCGGGCTCCGACCACCCACCCCTGGCGGCTTGAGCCCAGGGAGCCAAATCCTGGCACCCAGATGGGCTCCCAAAGGCAAAGAATGGGGTCCCAGTGGAAGGTGGGGCTGTCCCTGGACTGTCTCTTCCACATCCCCTGCTGACAGGGGAGGCCACCTGTCCTCACTGATGTTTGCAGTGCTCAGGAAGTGAGGGGTTTTACCCACTTTGACCAGGGCTCAATGTCATTTCTGTTGCTTTTTTGGGTGTCTTTACCAGCAGCTATTCCCTCCCCCCAGCTAGCAGCCCCCACAGGAAAACCATGGGCTGGAGCATCGAGGAGAGGGGGGGAAGAACTCTTCTGAGGTATTGGGTCCTTATGGTTCTCAGCACAGTTTTGCAGCTTAAGGGCTTAAACCCAAAAATTGCTGCTAGCATGACAGAGGCTGCAGGAAGATGTCCTTTGGAAGCCAGAGTTTAGCAGTTCCCCCAGCCCCAGATCAGTGTGGCCTGTTTCCAGGCAGGATTCCCAAAACACTGGTGGCAAAGGCTTGGGAGTCCTGAGGCCAGTCCCTGGAGGATGGGGAAAATGGGGTGGTTGGTTGCTGCTGATGTCCCCCCATCCTGGTCATTCTGTGCCTCCCAGCCAGGCTGAGGCAGACTGGGGGGGGTCCTGCCCTGGTCCCCATCCCGCAGGGTCCGGGGGTGCCTCGCTGCTGCTGGGTCACTGTTGCTCTGCTGTTCTGCTGCTCATCTGTGCTCCCAGGTCGGTGTTTGCTGCTCCCTGGGAAGTTTTTGCTTTCTGATGGGGTCAGGGGGTGAACCATGGGGCTCTGTCTCTGCACCTTAGCCCTGTCCCCTCTTCTTCTCCTGCTTGCCCCATCTTATCCCCAGCCCCCCCAGCCTCTCTCCCTCATCCCCGCAGTGCCCATCTCACCCATTCCCATTGCCCCAGCTCCTTCCAGCTCCCTCCCTACCATTGCTCCATTGGACTGTGGAACATGGCTGGGCAGGGCAGATGGGCATCATGATGGGGTGCTAGTCCCTTTGGGGGGATCTGTGCCCCAGGAGGGTGCTCTAGGTGCTCAGCCCCCTCTCTCCTCTCCTTGCAGGTGCGGAGCTGCGCAAATGAGAAGCAGGTAAGTGAGAGCAGGATGTCAGTGGGGGACCCCATCCCTTCCCTGTGTCCCCAGCCCCAGAACATGCTGTGATGTTCACACAGAGACCACAGGGCCCCTGCTCCCCCCAGCCCCCCCTCCCCCCCACCGCTGCCTTGGGGCACCCCAGGGTGCAGCACCCAACACCCCTGCCCTCACTTGTGGCTCCCCTGAGGCCCCCTGAGACTGCCGGGCTGGACCCAGAGCCCCTGGGGCTACAGACACCCTGCCAGGGGCTGTGGAGTATCAGGGGGGCCTCCAGCTCCCAAAGGCACACACACCCTGTGCTGCACTCCCTGCACACACAGCACTGCATGTGTACAGCACCCACTGGGTGTTCAACACACGCTGCAGACACTGCACACCCTGCACACTCTGCACACCTTGCACACACTGTACACACTGTACACACTGCACACTCTGCACACTCTGCACACCCTGCACACACACACCCTGCACACCCTGTACATGCTGTACACACTGCACACCCTGCACACCCTGCACACTCTGCACACACTGCACACACTGCACACCCTGCACACACACACCCTGCACACCCTGTACATGCTGCACACACTGCACACCCTGCACACCCTGCACACCCTGTACACACTGCACACTCTGCACACACTGCACACACTGCACACACACACCCTGCACACACTGTACACACTGTACACACTGCACACTCTGCACACACTGCACACCCTGCACACCCTGCACACACACACCCTGCACACCCTGCACACCCTGCACACACTGCACACACTGCACACCCTGCACACTCTGCACACACTGCACGCTCTGCACATCCTGCACACACTGTACACACTGCACACCCTGCACACACTGCATACCCTGCACACACTGTACACCCTGCACACACACAGTGCTCATGCTGCACACGCTGCACTCACTGTACACTGGGTGCCCACAGCTCCTGTGCCCACAGGCTGTGCATGCCCCACACACACTGTGCTCCTGCACACCCACGGTGCTGTGCACACCCTGCATGAGCACTGTGCACACACACTGTGCCCTGTGTGCAGCAGTGCAGACACTGCACAGCACGTGCTGCATGCATGGCACAGAGACACTGCACCCTGGCACTGCTCCCATGTGGTGCAAATCACCTTCAACAGCTCCATCCCCGCACACCCCCGTCCCCACACATCCCTATCCCTGCACAGCTCCATCCCTCTACACCCTCATCCCCGCACACCCCTGTCCCTGCACACCCCCATCCCTGCACACCCCCATCCTCACCCACCCCCATCCCCGCATGTGCACATCCACGCTCTGCACTGCTGCACACCTTCCATTGCAGGCCCAGCCCAGCCCTTCCCCCCACACACCTGTGCCTCACTGGGAGCCTCCCTGAGCACCTCTGGGCCTGCCCAGGGTGTGTGTTCCTGTGCCCAGGTACAGGCACAGCTGCTGCAGGCACACAGTGCACACCCCCACTGCACACACAGCACCCCACACAGACACTCTGTGTGTGCAGCCTGGGCAACACCCAACACCCAGCCCCTGCTCGCTGCGCTCTAGGACCCTCATTGCCCCCTCCCAGCATGAACTCACTCTCCTTTTCCCTCCCCACTCCCCCTTGTGAGGCATTAGGTGAGCCTTTGCTGGCGGGTCTGGGAAATGCAGTGCCTTCCCCTTGCCCCAGGATTACAGTTTTCTGCCCCATTTCCATGTCTGCTGACATCCTCACGGTGGAAAGAGACCCTTAATCCCCTGCAAATACTGCAGGAAGATTTCAGATGCCGGATAAAAAGCTTAAAGATGAAACGTTGCGAGGGTTGAAAATGCTTATAAGCGTCACCCAAACGGTTATTAGCTGGGGGACAGCGCCGGGTCACTCCCGCCCAGCCTGGGGACTGACACTGGGTCCCGCAGCATTCCAGGGCCAGCCTTTTCCATGGAAGAGGCTGGACAAGAGGACCTGGGGAGGAAGGAGGGAATTAACCCAGGCTTGGTCCCCTCCAGGCCAGGGCAGAGAGAGATCAGGTTGGCCCTCAGTGATGGCACTTCCATAAATCCTCCATTTAAGAGGAAATCTGACTTTTAGCACCAGCGGGTTCATTGGCCCGGTGGCATCTGACAGCAGAGCCAAGTGCAAGGCATCCCTTGGATTCTGGGTCAGTCCCCAGGACCCTGGGTCAGTCCCTGGGACTGTGGATCAGCCCCCAGGACACCACAGCCCTGGGATCCTCTGCTGTGGCAGAGAGGATTATGCCTTTGCATAACCTGTTCCTAGGGCCACCCTACCTTCCCATCCCTCCTTTTCCTTGTCCATCCATCCCTGGGCTGGGACACGTGCGGGGCCCAAAGCCCCCAGGCCCCTCTGACTCTGCGGTGCCCCGCAGGTGCCACCATGTTCCTGAATAAGTGCGAGGGGGACCTGGGGGAGCTGCGGAAGCCGGGGGACAGCGAGAGCTCCCCGCCAGCCGCCACCGAGGAGGAGCAGCCCAAGAAGAAGCACCGGCGGAACCGCACCACCTTCACCACGTACCAGCTGCACGAGCTGGAGCGCGCCTTCGAGAAGTCCCACTACCCCGACGTGTACAGCCGCGAGGAGCTGGCCATGAAGGTCAACCTGCCGGAGGTCCGCGTGCAGGTAGGGAGGGCAACACCCCCGCACCCTGGATCTGTCCCTGAGCAGTGCACAGGGACCCCAAGGTGCTGGAGAGCTCCTCTGAGCTCTCAGCTCTAGCGCCAATGCCTCCCTCTGTGCCTCAGTTTCCCCACAGCTCAAGATGGGAGCGGCATCTCTGCAGAGCAAGCTGCTCCTGACAAAGCCAGGGAAAGGGTTTAATGGCTGAGCCTTGTTCCTCCATGGGGTCCCAGTTTGACTTACAAGGTCTCAGTTGGGCCCATGGGCCAGAGGCTCCAACAGGACACAGAGATGGTTTTCAGAAATTTTTTCCCCTTCTGGTGCTGGGTGCTCCCATCCCTCCTGCTGCTCACATGGGAAAGTGGCCAAAAAACCCATCTCGGCTGATCATGGCTCCTTCCAGGTTTTTGAGCTGGGAATGCACAAGATCCTCATGGATTTGAGGGTTTTCAGCTTGTTGGAGCAGGGCAGATTGGTGGGGCAGTGGGGCTGGGGAGGTTTTGTTCCTTAGGCTTCAGCAAAAGGCTCATGGGGGGACAGCAGAGCTTGGGAAGAGCCTGGGGTCCCAACAGTCCTCTCGCCACCTTTCCTGGACTGACAGGGTGAGATCAGGGAGGGAGAAAGGGTCAGGGAGCTGAATGAAACCACTGTGAATGAAAGCAGTAGCCCCCAAACAAATGAACTGAATTCCCCAGGCCTCAGCCCCAGTGAAGACAATGCAGCCTTTTTTGTGGGGGTCCAAACCATAAAGACACCTCTGCTGAGCTCTTTGAGCAACAACCGGTTTCATAGGATCACAGAATCGTTCAGGTTGGAAAAGCGCTCTGAGTCCATTGAGTCCAACTGCTCCCCCAGCACTGCCAAGGCCACCACCAATCCATGTCCCCAAGTGCCACATCCACACGTCTTTGGAGTCCCTCCAGGAATGAGGACTCCACCACTGCCCTAGGGAAGAAGTTTCCACTAATCTCCAACCTAACCCTCCCCTAGGGCAGCTTGAGGCTGTTTCCTCCTGTGCTCCCCTTGCTCCCTGGGAGCAGACCCTGACCCCCCCAGCCGCCCCCTCCACTCAGGGAGCTGTGCAGAGCCAGAAGGTCCCTCCTGAGCCTCCTTTTCTCCAGGCTGAGCTCTCCCAGCTTCCTCAGCTCCTCCTCATCTGACTTGTGCTCCAGCCCTTTCTCCAGCTCCGTTCCCTTCTCTGGACACGCAGTTTGCACCAGTGCAGCCCAGTGTCCACAACAGCCGTGAGCAGCCTGTGGAACCCTCCCATTTCCCACCCAGCCATTCATCTTTCCTCCCCTTTGCCTCCTGCAGCAGACCCCTGTGCCCTGTGCTGCTCTGGGGACATGGGGACCAGCACTTTAATGAGCAGTTCCCATGGGGCCAGACGTCCCCACTGGATTTGGGTCACCAGTCCCTGTCGTTCCTGCTGGGTTTTGGCACAACTGTGGCTGTTTAACTTATGAAAGCTGTGACCAAGGGGCTGGGAAGGTGGATAACATTGTCCCATGGACTGCTGGGAGTCTGCAGGGCCAGGGTGCAAGTTCCCTCGGAGCAAAAGGGGCTGTGTGCTTACACCTCTCCCTTCCACACCTTGGAGATGTCCTTGGTCTCTGGGGCTTGTGGGAGAGGTCTGGCAGAGGTGCTGGGGTTGCTGGAGCCCTGTAGGACAGCCCTTGTGGGATGGGGTACCTCAAACAGGACACCCCCACCTCGAGCACTCCCTGTGGGACGCCCCACACAGGACACTGCACAACGGGGCACCCTGCCTGGGGCAGAGGCACGGGCAGAGGCATGGGGCATCTGCATGGGACACAGCATGTGGGGCACACTGCAAGGGCCCGACTGGGCACAGTGAGCTCACCTTGGCTCTCACCTCACAGGTCTGGTTCCAGAACCGACGAGCCAAGTGGAGGAGGCAGGAGAAGATGGAGGCCAGTTCCATGAAGCTCCACGACACCCCTGTGCTCTCCTTCAACCGGCCCCCCATGACCCCCAACGTGGGGCCCATGAGCAACTCCCTGCCACTCGACCCATGGCTGACATCCCCCATCTCCAGTGCCACCACAGTTCACAGCATCCCTGGCTTCATGGGAGCCCCCCAGGCCCTGCAGCCCCCCTATGCTGGGCACTCCTTCCTCAACACCCCCCCGCCGATGGCGCAGGGCATGCAGCCCATGGCCCCCGCGCCCTACCAGTGCAGCACCCCCTTTGTGGACAAGTACCCGCTGGAGGAGGTGGACCAGAGGAGCTCCAGCATTGCCTCGCTCCGCATGAAAGCCAAGGAGCACATTCAGACCATTGACAAGACCTGGCAGCCCATTTGATGAACGCTCCCCTCCGAGCTCCCCGGCCGCCGCTCACGCCCCCGGCGCTGGCAGGCGAGGGAGGACAGCGGGTGCTCAGCAGGACCAAGCTGGCACCGGGCAGGGATGCCAGGCTGCCTCCTCCCCACACTGACCCAGCACCAGCGATGTCAGGGGAGCAAGTCAGGGTGCTGGCAGGGCCCCGTGGCTGCGGGGAAGCACTCCAGGAGAGCTCCTTTGCCTCTCTGAGGCATCAAGATCAACTGAGGACCTGGCTCAGGCTTAGGCATCCCACTGTGCCAGCGGGCCACCCACCACACCCCAGTTGGACACCTCCTTTCTCCACACCCCCTCCCCTTTCCATTATTATTAATTTTTTTTTAATGCTGCAGATTTAAACAAAAGTGAACAGAAAGCTCTAGTTTTGTAGGGAGTACTTGGGGGTATGTTTTAGCTGCGTTGGGGCACGCTGTGGTCGTGCCGGATGCGCCGAGAGCACGGGTGTATTGTGAGTAAAGAGATGAGCTGGACGGCTGCTGCTGGCTGGAGTCAGGCGCTGCGGGGCCGCGGTCGGGCTGTGCCCTCCTTAGCACGGCGTGGCTGCCGAGCTTCTGCCAGAACGGAGCTTTCTGTGGGGGCACCATCCCTGTGCACCCTCCTGCCCTGCTCCCTCGGGATGCTGCAGACAGGGCTGGGCCAGGTCCAGGCACAGGTGACCTGGGATTGGCTTGTGCTGCTCCGTGGCCTCAACTGCTTGTCACAGGTCCCCTGCTCGACTGTCCCTTGGGGGCTGTGCCCACTGACCCCTGCCCAAACACTCCCAGAGGTGCCAGAGGGCTGCTGGAATTGTGTTGGGGGAAGGATGGGCAGCAGTGGGACCCCTGAGAGCCCTAGTGAGCGGAAGGGGTCGGCTGTGAGCCCTGGGCTCACCACAACAGGGTTCTTGGGGCACACCACACCTGGCTTATCCCTTGCCAGTGTTCCTTGCCAGGTGGGAGCTGGGGGGTGGTGACAAGGTGCCGTGTCCTCAGGGGTCCCCAGAGTGGCTCTGCAGCTCTGTCCCATCTGCCCACCCACTGGAGCTCGGGGCACAGCCAGAGGCCCCAGCACCCTCACCGATGGCAAGGGCCAGCATGGCCCCAGCACATGGCTGAGCCCACAGGGGCTTTGAGGTGTTAAGCACAGCTGGGACAGCAAGACAGGGGGGCTTATCCCTCGGTGAGTGGGTGCCCCGGGTCCCTGGGATGCCCTGAAGTGTCCAGGGTTCCTGGGGTGTCCCAGTCCCTGGAAGAGCCAAACGAGGGACAGCCCACCCCCCACCAAAGGTTTTCTCCAGAAAATCTTCCCACTCGGGACCTGGACAGAGTCTCCAGCTGCGTCCCCCCGCGTCCCCACCGCGTCCCCCGGCCCAGACCCCGCTCAGTGCCCCCAGCCCGGGGTCTCAGCCCGATCCAAACCCCCCCGGGCCGGACTCTGAGGTCTGCAGAGCCCCGGGGTCGGGCGGGTCTGCCCGGGATGCCAGCGGGCCGGGCGAGGCACTGACCCCGGCGAGACCCTGCTCCTTGTGCCCCGTCCCCCGGCTGCTGCTGCTCGTCTGTTTCGTTAGCGACAATTAAACCTTTAACAACCCATTAAACGCATAATCGATGCTCCCCGGCTCCCCGGCCCAGCTAATGGGGCGAAGCGCCCCGGCCGAGGCGAGCTCCGGCCGGCAGATAATGAAGCAACGGCTGCGGAAGTAATGGGGTTTGATCCGGGGGACGGGACGCGCTCAATGGGGGCTGCGCTTTTCACATGACATAATTGCCGAGGCTGGCGCCAGCCCGGGGCACCCCTCGGCCTCCCGAGCGCCAACAAAGGCCGGCTGGCGCTGGGAGCGGCAGCGCCGCACCCCCGGCTCGTTTGATCGGAGCCTTAATTGGGGCGAGGGTGCTCCGGGCCGGCCCCGCCACCGCCGCCCGGCAGCGCGGAGGGGCCCCGGCGGGAGGATGGATGGATGCGCCTCCCCATCCTTGGGGCTGGGGGCTGTGTGAGTGATGGAAATGAGCTGTTTTCCTTGGGGTGGCACGGGGGATGTCGGGGTACCCGCACTTGGTACCCCCCTTCCCTCCCGTGGGTGCGGCCGGTGCTGCGCTGCATCTCCTGCAGGAAGGGGCAAGATTTCTGACCCCAAAAATGCCATTTAAACGCAGGGAGGACGAAGAAGCACTGAGCCGCCTGGCCGGACCACTTTATTGGTGCTTTCCCCAATGGATACCCACTGGAGCCTGTCCCAGCATGTGGGAGTTTGTGTGGGAAAAATTCAAGCAAAAAGGGATTTTTTTCCCCTTAGATCCCAATCCTGTCCTGAAATCGCTCACTGCCCAGATGGGGCTGGTTCCTGTACTGTGAGGAGTGGGTGCTGCTGGCAGTGCTGGGGGTACCAGGGGGTGCTCCCACCCCCTCGTGGCCGAGCAGGAGCCCTCCCGCTCCCACCCCTGTAATCTCCTCCCGCGGGATTTGCCCCCTAAGCTGCTTATTTCTCTCTATTTCTCCCAGGCCTGAACGAACCTAGCCCTGCCCCGGCACGACGCCTCGAGCCTGCTGAGCCGTGGTCTCTGGCACTGTGCCCCTGCACTGCCTGGTGGTGGCCTGGCATGTGGGGCTGGCACTGCTCAGGGATGTAGGGGTGACACTGCCCAGGGGTGTGGGGTGGCACTGCCCAGGGATTGGGGGTAGCACTGCCCAGGGATGTGGGGCTGGCACTGCCCAGGGATGTGGAACTGACACTGCCCAGGAACGGGGGGTGGCACTGCCCAGGGATGGGGGGTTGGCACTGCCATGCCAGGGACGTGCAGCTTGGGCCCACAGTCCCAGTCGTGCTGTGCTGTGCTGTGAGACCTGTACCCCTTGGCACAGGCCAGGGTGGAGGCCGGCCTCTGAGCACCATGTCCATGCCCTGGTGCCCCAGCAGGACAGGCACGGTGCCAGGGGGCTGCGGTGATGGGGTGGGGCCTCACTGTCCCTCTACAGGGTGTGGGAGCTGGGGCCCTCGGGGCTCAGGTTCTCCTCAGGGGTGTTGACCCATGAGCTCTCCCCTACCCCCCAGCTCCCGGGGGCAGAGGGGCACAGGGGGCTGTGGGCTGGGGAGGGGGGGGCTGCCCACTGCAGGTTGAGCTTGGCGATGAGTGGCCGCCCCACGTTCACCCGCTGCCGCTCCTCCACAAAGTCATCCATGCCCTGGTAGCGGTACTGCAGGCACACGGTGAAGGCCAGCTCCTGCTGCAGGGACACCAGCACCGTGGGCTCCTGCCCTGGCACGGCCATGGTCACGCCGTGCCCCGACACCGCTTGCCATGGCTCTTACCCGCAGCTTCTGCAAGCCACAGATGCGGCTGTAGAGGCAGCAGGAGGGGCAGCCGAGGCTCCAGACAGGTGCCAGCGGGCTGCCCAGCTCCTCTGGGCTCTCCTTGTTGGTGCACTTGAGGTCCACATCCAGCTCCTGCCATGACAGCACCCACGTGAAGACCACTACAGCTCCCCCCCATTCCCCAGCATTGCCCTGGGGGGGGCTTTGGCAGCTGCTCCCACCTCGGGAATATCAGTGAGCCGGGCCTCACACTTGGTGATGTCCTTGGGGGCAGCCACCACACGCGTGTAGATGATCATAATGTTGGAGAACTCGGCAGCGAAGCCCAGCTGGACGGTGACACCGCAGTCAAAGCAGAGGTGCCGGCTCTCTGGCAGCACTGGGGAGGGGACAGGGAGCACAGGGCTGGGACCTGCAGGGGCTCAGGACTCGAGCTGTACCCACAGGTGAGGCAGCCACTGGGTCACCCCAGAGCAGGGCTGCCAACATGTTGTTGCTGTCTCCAGGCTGGTGGCTCTGTGCCGGCAGTTTCTCCTCCAGGTGGGAGGAACCAAGCTGATGTTGTTCACAGCCCCTCTCTGCTCCTGGGGCTGTCCCCCCTCAAGATGCCAGCTTGGGACAGGCTGGCCATGACTCACCGTGAGCCTTGGCCCACTGCAGGTTCCTGGCAGAGGACTCGTCCTGGCCCGGGGGGCGGATGGGGTCTGTCAGAGCCCGTCTCTCTGAGAGGTTGCTGCGGAGCTCCAGTGCCTGCCGGCCCCGCGTGATCTCCAGAGTGCCCATGTCTGCAGGGGCACAGGGGGTTGGCAGGGGCCACCAGGGGGTCATTGTTCCCCACTGCTCCTCACTCACCCTCGGCCACCTTGTCCAGCAGCACCGTGATCTTCTCATCCTCCAGCAGCCAGCGCTTGAGGAAGGTGACGAAGATGCCGTTGGAGAGCTCACCCTGGCTCAGCTCATAGGCTTCGGCATCTGCACACCTGTGGGGACAGGGCAGTGGCTGGATCTGTCATGGGGTCTGGCACTCCCTGGGAATTGGCCCCCAACAGGATAACAGCCCTAAGGAAGCCAGAGCTGGGTGCCCAGCACTCTTCCTACTCCTATCACACCATCTGGCCACTGTGCTGGGCACAGGTGAGAGAATGGCCAGATCCTGGATGCTTAAAGCATCACCAGCCCAAACCCCTGTGCTCTGGAGGAGTCTTGGAGCTTCATGCCTGCAGGTGCTCCCCAAAGCCAAGCAGTGCCATGGGCACCTCCCTGCCCTGTGAGGGACTGGTGGCTGCTGTTTGCCCAACCCCTCCAGCATCAAGGGTGGAGGGATGCAGCTGTGGGGGTCTGAGCCCCTGAGCTGGGCAGGGAGACTCAGCCCCACTCTGCCTGTGCCAGGGGATGGTGGGAGGGGACCCACGTGGCATAGCCAAAGACGATGTTGGCCGTGACCTCCAGCACCCCAACCTGCGGGATGATGTCATCATTGAGGTTCCTGCAAGAGAAGAGAAGCTCGACAGAGTGAGAACCAGTCCCCCTCCCAAAACCCACCCCAAAGCACACCAGACCTTGAGGGCTGCTCTGTGCCCCTCTGCCCACCCACTACAGCGTTTGCTAGCTCACAGGGGCAGTGAAGTCTTGGGGCATTTAGACAAAGACAATGGGTTTAGATGGGACCCTG